TTCCCCCCACCTCCCCCTCTCCCATGTCCCCCTGTTGTTTTCTCCTCCAGATTGTTCATCCAACCTGTGTCTCCTCTTTCTCTCTCAGAGAAACTGGTGGTTTGAAACTTTCATAAAACCAAAATCAAATTGCAATTTTGGGGAAAGTAACCCACCCTGGGTTTCTAGCTGCAGAAATAACCCCTGGGCCCCATTACCTCGACGCCAAGAGTCCATCTGACCCGTGGCAGGTCAGACCTGCTCCTGATTGATGTGTCTGAGTAGACTTGTGTTCTACAGGGCTTTCAATAGCTGATTTTGGGAAGCAGATCACCAGGCCTTTCTCCCGAGGCACCTCTAAATGGACTTGAACATCATCCTTTGCATTAGCATCCCAGTATAACTGTGCACCAAGTGCCCATAGTTAGGTACATGATATTTACTGTGACATTCTTTAAGGAGCCTTAGTGGCACAGTGGGTTACACGCTGGGCTGCTAATCATAAGGTCAGAAGTTCGAACCCAGCAGCCACTCCTTGGGAGAAAGATGAGGCTTTTCACTCCCATGAAGACTTATAGCCGAAAAATGAGTTGATCCCAAGGGCTCAAGTAGAAAGAAAATGGAGGGGGTGGGTTACAGTTGCATCTTTAAAGAAAATGTTTTGGAAAAAAAAATGTTTTAAAAATGATGGCAACATATGTACAAATGTGCTTGAAACAAGGATGTACGTATGGAAGGTGATAAGAACTGTAAATGATTTTTAAAAAAGAAGACTGACAGACTCAGGAGGCTTACCCTGCCCTGTCCCACAGGGTCACCAGGGGTCGAAATGGACTGGATAACGTTGAGTTTTAGGAGTGAGTGACACTGTGTGGAGGGAGGGAGGGCAGGAAAGAGAAAGGAAGGATGAAGAGAGAGATCTGAATGTCCACCTGGGCTCCAAAGGTCTTTTATTTAGCCTGCCGTGTATTTTAATGTTTTCCCCTGGGTTATCAAGTTGAAAATCCAGAAGAGTGCTGCCCCAAAGAACCCTGTGGGCTGGAAGGAAAGTTCTGCATCTGGGCTGCCCCAGGTGGCAGCCGCCAGCCCGTGTGGCAGTTGGGCACTTGGCATGTTGCTAGTGTGACTGAGAAACAGAATCTTTTGATAACAGTTGTATGAGCCCCTAATAAAATGTTAAAAAAAAAAAAAAGAAACAGAATCTTTTAACTTTATTCTGTTTTCACTGAAGTTCAAAACTATGGTCCAATCCACAACCAGCACTGAGGAGCGTGGCCTTCCTTTGTGGATGAGGTCGCTGTGAGTTGGGAGTCGAATCAATGACAGGTGACAGTAGCAACCACCACACATTTAAACAGCTACAAATGGCTTGTGCTTTGGACTCAGAATGGCGGAGATTTCACGTTAGGTTAACAATTTGCACCTTGGATCTAAACAGCTGAGTATCTGTCAACATCAGGCCCACTTCCTGCAAAGCAACAACTGGCTGCAAGCTGAGTTGCTGCAGCTGCCTTTCCACAGAGCAAGTATTCTCTAATTTGCCACACTCCCCACTACTCCCTGTTACCCCACTCCCACCCATTTCACTTGCTTTATAGATCCTGCCAAGCGCTTGGAGGTATCTGATTTGAACAATTTCCGTTAATGACTCTTTCTCTCTGAAGAGTCCTAGGGGAGCAGGCTGAAGTACTGGGCTGCTACCCAAATGGTGGGCAGTTTAAAACCACCAGCTGCTCCCTGGGAGAAAAATGAGTTTTCTTACTCTTGTAAAGAGTTACAGCCTCAGAAACCCACGGAGGGTAGGGGTGGGGGACAGGGGGAAGGGGGGTAGTTCTACCCTGTCCTACAGGGTGGCTATGAATTCAATGGCAGTGAGTTTGGAGGAGGGGAAGGTCAAAACTACTTTTGTAAGAATACTCAGCTGAACCTGCCTTCTTCCTTCTCGATAAAGTTTTCCAGAGGCTACGGGATGCATGATATTGTAAGAGGCTATATGCAGCAAGGTCAGCAGTTTGAAACCACCAGCTGATCCATAAAAGAAACATGAGGCTTTCTACCCATAAAGAATTCGTTTTGGGAACCCACAGGGGCAGTTGTACCCTGTCCCGTAGGGTCACTAAGAATCAGATCCCATGGCAGTGGGTTTGGTTTTTTGGCTGATTGCAGAAATGCACAACAAATGCCATTCCGTTAAAAAT